ATTATTCATATTTTCAAGTGATTCGAATCCAATAAATGTTGATTTATGGCATCCATATTTAAATGGAAATAATATTAAGCCCTGTAACGCATTGGACGCATCAAATGAATATAATAAAAAAAAATTGTTTTTCTAAATATCTACAATTTTAGCGCACATTCTGGTTGAAGCCGACTAAACCATATCCTAGGATAGAAATTCGGCCAACCGATTAAATGAGTTAACTCTCCTGGCTTAGAATTATTTTTCTGGACTCCTCCCCCTCTCCCCTTTCATTCCTGGATCCGCTCCTGGTCTGGCCGACATAACGCATTGTTCGCATTGTATTTTATAAATCCCCGGGTATGCGAAAAAGTTAATAACTTACTGTACTAGTCTGAATGTTGTGCGCTGGTTTGGTCAAAATTATATAGTTCAACGGTGGATTTCCCCGGTGGATTTGCAAAGATGACCGTAATAGAAATTCCAGTGATAAAGGCAGAATAGAAGAAGAAAATGTCAACCACTATACACACCGCTTATTGTCGGATGGTAAACGATTTCGGTATGAAACGGCTTATTGTAGTGGAGCAATGTCGTCGGGCTGTGAAGCACATCATGGCGGAATTGCGTTTGGGGTGGAAAATATTATTATTATTATTATTACTATTATCATATAGTAGACGTTCTGGTAAATGTGAACAAAGTCCTCCAGAGACGAGCAAGCTGGTAACAATACCTAATAATCGGTTGGGGAAAAAAAAAGGGTTGTGCAGCTGTTCAGAAATCATGACTGCAATTTGCAGTTAGACAATTTTTTATTCCAAATCGCCCCAAAATTAAAACACTAGACATACTTGAACACTGCATTATAGAATCGATTGCATTTTAAGCAATAAAGTATCAAATTGCTCGGATGTTTTGTGTTTTGCGACCAGACCGAAAATATCAGGTCTCTATTCATCGTTACATTATAGTATTACTATTATTATGCAGAAATGGTTGAATTAATTAAATGCATTATGCGAACGGTCGCCATCCCGCCGTATTGTTCCAGTATAGTTCAATGCAAACTAACAAAGCTGACATATCTTGGCGGGAGTCAACCCGACCCCTTGCCGCGATTATGTAGACAACAACGACAACAGCGCAGTGTCTAAAATCTATAAACGCAATATATTATATTGTTGCCGTTATATTTTTAAATATTTTGTCTAATTGCAGCTTCTGTTTGCAATTTAGTAGTTTTTTTTTTTCTATCTGAATGTGTCGCCGAGTTTAACACAATTGGCAAAAATTGAGGAGAAGCCAAAATGTGTAAGGGACGTGACAAAAAATAGTGACTCAACCCCTCCCCTAAGATTTCCATTTTTTTTTTTTTTATTGCATATGATTTTCACCTTTGTCCAATGTATAGCGCCTTAAGCAAAGTTGATATCTGGTCTTTAAGGAGAACGCCTAACCTGTGCCTGAGAACGCTTAGAAATTAGTTAACATTGACAATCTTAAGTAAATATAAATCTGAAAAACTAACTGGACGGGTAATATTAGAGTTTTTCAAATTTATCACAATAGTGTTGGCTTTTGAGGTATTACTATACCGTGTGTGTTTTTGCATTATGTATATTACAACGCGGTTATTGTTGTTGACTTTTTTTTTATGCTCATCTCATGTTCTCTATACAAATATGAGAATCAAACCACTGTGCACCGTGCAATGTGTGTACGGTCTACTTGGTTTGGTACTGGTGTGTGCATATATATATATATATAAAAAAGCGTTCATTGTAATAAAAAAGAGAGAAAGAGTCACACATATTATATTCTAGTTTTATTCGTGTAATAATATGTGCGGCAAAGTCACGAACCTGTGAACAAAAAAAAAAAAAAAGTCTTAGTTAAAGCAAATGCCTTCCATAACTGCGCGATTAGTATAATATTATTATACAACAGTCTATGTGTACCTTTACCGGATACCGGATATATGCATATAGGTACGTGCGGTGAATTTTCACATTGCCCATATGACAATAATAATAATAATAATAATACAAATAAAAAACAGCGACGGCTCGTGAGGAGAGAAAAATAAAGCGCGTACAGCACCTACGGGATTCGAAAGATCTTTTTATTTTTTTTTGGGGGGGGGGGGGATTTATACTTTGCACGATCCTGTCATTTGTAACGTCGCCCAGAGGCTTCGGTCGTTTTTATTGTCTTGAACTTAGCATCGCCCACCAATAGCGTCTCGTTTGCTACCCCATACATAATGTAAGGGGGGGGGGGTGTTTTTTTAAAAAATACTTTTTAGTCGGTTTGAAAATTAAAAATCGCTGCTGCCTGGATTTATGATAAATCATTATAGCTGTTAACTCATTATTGTTCTTTTTTTTAGGGCATACAATACAATATGTAGTCTAGTAAATGTGTATGGGTTGTTACGTGAAAGTGCATCACAACAGTCATCAGGTATGTGAAAAATAGTTTCATTATGTTGTTAATTCTGGCAACAAATTATTATAGATGACTATCATCTTTACACATACCGCTACCGCCATCTTTGCACCTACAAAAACACCTACACTTTTAAACACATTATTGTCAACATCACTGCGATGCTTTGATATTTCTACAACCCACATATGTTTTTGAAACATATGTACTCGGGCTAGAAACTTGGGGGTATAACTTCCTCTCGAGGGTGGCTTCCGGGAAATAATCACAATATCGTTGTTGCTGCACTCAACGCTATCATCATCGTATGGGAAATGATATACCTATTAAGGTACTCGACGGATTTCCATCCGTTTTATATCATTACACTAGTAGACAGTCTGTAGATGTGCATATATTATTTCAAATATTATATTATAATATTGTATCGTTACTGGCAGGCATTATCTATACCTACGGCCCACACATTGTGTGTAATTGGCCTCGGCGATTAAACGGTCGGGCAAATCGAGTTTAAATCCCTTCACGGCGAAAGCCACACTTGATTGTCCAACCGGACCCGTCCAAGTCATATTTGGAATGTAATGTTGTATTCAATTAAAAATGTAAGCACACTATTTTGTAATAACTGATATTTTCAATAGGCGGGCAAGAACTTCATCAAAACTGGCCACAAGCATAATTTATCATTCATCGCCCACCTGCTTGCCTCCCCTCAATTTTCTTTCACTGGAAATCTGAGATAAGACAGCTAAAAGCTATCAAACCTGGAGAGACCTTGCTATCCTGTGGGTATAATATGGGTTTATTATTGAAATGGTAAATTAATTGAATTGAACATTTTGGCTGAGTGTGGAAGGTATTTTTTTTTTTTAATTGTCTGTACTTTACTTATTAATAAATAAGTGGTGTGGCTTCTTCCTAACAACACAAACGTGTTTAATAGTATTTTTTTTTAAATAACAATGACACTGTTTAAAGTAAAATATCTAGAAAGCTGTTTAAATTTTAAATCATACATTTATTATAATATTTTCAACCATTATTAGCCTGCTTAATTGATACATCTTTGTTTTGCTTAAGACTAACGTTGAATATTGTCAATTTATACTCACCTATGAATACAGGACGTTTCGGATGCTCTTACTGTTGACAATGTTATAGTTTAGACAATATTGTGATAGATCTAATTTGCAAGATATTTTGGAAAAAAAAAATTATCTACCTGTTTAATGTGTATTCTTTTGGCCAACATTGGTCCATAATTGTATTTATATTCAACCGACAAATCTCTTTGGATTTTTTAACTCGTTTCCAACCTATTGTAAACTTTAACTGCATCCTCAAGTCTTACAAACAATTAAGTTTAATTATCATGTAATAAACGCCACATTAGATGTCATATATCTATATACTACTCACGTATAATAATAAGAAACGTTAAAAAAAAACAAAAACAAAATAATTACAAAACATTTTTTTAATAAATTTTCAGTATGAACACTTTACAGGTATAAAATCCACACAAATAGATTTATTTTGGAAGCATTATAAAAATTTAAAAAAAAAAAACAAAATTTCAAAAAACGAAGAGTAAATTAAACACACAACAATTACATTATTTGGTTCATAATAATTATATTAAAACAATTCGCACATATATATTTAATTTTTTTCTGTGAAATGTATTAAAAAAAAACAGTTGTTTTTTTTCAAAATTGTTTAAATCAAATCGAAGCGTTTAAAATTAAGATTTGTATTGTTATAAATAAAAAAAAATTACGCCAATTTTAACAACCCTGGACACGTTGACCTCACAGCAATCGTAAAGCGTGAATTCGTTTTTTTTTTTCCAATGTAAGTACAACATATTTTTTCTCAAAAAAAAATCTACATACTTGTTTACATATTCTAAATTCGACCTCGCTATATGTACAAATTATATGCGCGTACACGGTGTGTTCGACTGCGGTTAAGAAGGAAAAACACAATGCCTTCATCGCATATTAGAAGAAACAAATCGATTAGACCAAATAAAACAGTTGTGACAATAGTACAAAACCTATACTCCTAATATATATATGTATATATTAATCTTAAATTTACACACATGTGTCGTTTTAACACTATACAAATAACCTAGCTGTGAAATTAAAAAAAAAAACGCACACACATACTATTCCAGTTGGATTTCGAGGTTTAATAAAACACCACAATAATATATTACATTATGCTATGTAGACGTTGCGCCGAGTACTTGTGTAAACACAGTGTAGCGACCGAATTAATTGTCAAATTACTACTTTTAATTATTTTCAAACCGTTTTTAATTTGAAACGCAAAAAAAAAACACGTCTCGTTCCCCCGACAAAATATATTCACCGAAAACCGACACCGAATATGTGCGCTTAAAAGAACCTTTTTGCAACGCCCTTCGATTAAAACAGTATAATATTATTGTGTTTGTGTTGTTTTAGCGTCGAAGGAATCCGTCTTTAATTATTATTCGGTGCTGCAAGGCGATAACGGGATGGTGAATTGCAACCAATCTCAATGAATACAAAGTGGGTTAGGTTAGTGTTTCGTTAAATTTAAAAAATAAATTGCAGAGGTGTAACCGAAAAAAACTGCTACCTATATCGTATCGACAAAAAGATAACCGTTGGGATTTCCAACGTTATTTTTTATTCTATCTTTTTCTCACATCCAAAGCCTTTGACGGCAACGACCTAAGGGGCGGGCAATGTTAATACATTACATACCGGCAAGAAGCTCGGTATGCTTGGTTGCTTACTTACTTACACGCGGACGACTTGACGGAAGTCATAAAAACTAAGCACGCCCGCGATGACACGGAGAGACACACACGCACAGACATTTATTCCCGAGCCTTTATATCTGCGTTTTCCCTCTTCTCGCCCTTTACCTACTATTATTATTATTATTATTATTATTATTATTGCCGGATAAACCTAACACCGATTGTATTTTGCTTCGAGCTTTATTGTTATTATACCTGCGGGTCCGAAGCTTTGGAAACCCGCATTTGCACACACGGTTAGATCTGGCGTGGAAAGTTCAGATCAGAATATAGCTTTTTTTACAGTCTTTGTTGTTGCCAAATTTTCAATAAATCTGGAAAATTGTCTAGAATTCATTGTTGTCATCACTGTGCCAAAGTCCTCGGTTGGATCTGATTATCTTGGGACAATCAAATGAACGCGATGAACGCCGGCTTGGTGTTGGAAATATTACTCCGCCGCTGATAATTAGGTTTTTAAAGGCGGCGGGTATTTTTTTTTTTTTTTGTTATAATTATTTCGTTAATAATTATTACCGTCGACACACGAGACTCGAGCGAAAAGTTTTGTGCATTTGTTGAAAGTTTAAGAAGAGCAAATTCCCCAAAGAGGCACGTGGTATATCTCTCTTCAATTATTAACGCGTCGTATCGCTGTTTGATAATTACATTTCGCAGATTTACCGTGGTCTGTGTTCATACGAAAGCTATGTACGCTGAAATATGTTAAAGGGTTGAAAAAATGCAGTAATAATAATATAAACGCTGATCCTATAAGTTTGCGCCCTATATCCGTCGTTAAGTCACATTAAACCGGAAATCCACTCGGAACAGTCTTCCGTATTATTCCTAATAAAGACACAAAATCTCTGTGTTTTTGGGAATGTCATCCGGTAAACTTGAGGTGTCCCATATTTTCGTTCAAGCAAGGTTAGTAGCTCTTATTCCAGCTGGATTGATAACTCCATTTTTACCAACTAGATTGACAACTCTAGTTTGAAAGCTTTTTCTCAACTGTCCTGACAGCTCTACGCTGTGCTGGATTTGCAGCTTCTTTTTGAATTATAACACTATAGTATACTATGGTACAATTGGGGGAGGTGCTGCGAGTCAGTCACATGTTGTCGGCCATCGCGTTGATCCTGTCCAGAGATCTTAGCAAACCGTTCTTGGCCGCTTCGGGCAGTCGCTGCCTCTGTTGGATTCTCAGCCACATTTTCACATAAGTGGCGGTGCGCTTCCGCCGGTTGGGTTTTTGCCGTTTGTACGGTGGTTTAACCTCGCCACCGGCGGCACTGTGGGTCCACGTCAGCGCCAGTCTGCCCGGCTGACCTTTGTTGAACACCACGTCCATCCACTGGTCGCAGCAAAACCAACTACGGCCAGGGTCAAGACGATCACGGTCGTCTTGGGGTCCAACTAAGATTCTGGATTGCTGTTGTTGCTGTAACTGCTGCTGCAGCTGCTGGTATCTTCTCCGCCTGCCGGAAGATCTTCTGCTGCGCGTCGACGACCTGACGCTGTCGGCCCGGCGACATCGCTGTCGTCTCGGCGGTCGGGTAGGTTTGTCCGTGTCCAACCGGGTCAGGATCACGTACCTCCACTTGTCTCCCTCCAACCTGTCCGGATCCGCCGGAACCGGATAACTGATGGTCGGCTTCGTCTTCCTGTCAACACGATTATAATAATATATACAATGAATGGAATGAGACATGTTTACATACAAATATATATACATAAGTTAGGTTTGGTTTGGTTAGGTTTGGTTAGGTTTGGTTAGGTTTGGTTAGTTGGTTAGGTTGGTTAGGTTTGGTTAGGTTTGGTTAGGTTAGGTTAGGTTTGGTTAGGTTTTGTTCGATACATTATAATATTTGTCTTACGGCTGGGGGCAGTTCCATTTTTACCCTAAGGCCACGTTGGGCACGAGCCCCCAGTCTGATGGTAGCCCCGAATAATACAATATACATCTTTAAGTTTATTTTAGTTTCCTTAAAGGGCCCCTAAACTCTGTGCGCCCAAAGGCCTCTACATAGTCTACAAGACGGCCCTGGCTGGGCGACAGTGTAGTTTGCGTAACGTTATTCAGTAAGACCGAAATCGTTTCCGTTAAACCTCGTTTACTTGATTTATTATTTACACGTTTACTCGATTACTTTATTCGTCTACTCTACATATATTTACTCGTATACTTGATTTATTTACTCGTTTTATTTACTCGTTTACTCAATTTATTTATAAGATTACTTGGTTGTCTACTCTTCTGCTAAATTTATTTTCTCGATCTGTTTAATCATATACTTGATTTATTTACTCTTTTAATAGATTTGTTTACTAACTTCTGTACTCGTTCTTCAGTTTTATTATCTCAACTAACTTGTTTTGGTAACTCGTTTAATCGATTGGTTGACGTGTAAATATGTCGATTTACACGTTTACTCGATTTGTTTTATCTTTTAATAGAATTATTTACCAGATGTATTTACCCGTTAAATTTACTTATTTTTTCGGTCGTTCGATTTAGTAACCTTTTTGTGTTTTTTACAAAGCCAAAATTATAATAAAACCGCAGCATTTTTTTTTTTTTTTTAATACATATTATCACTATTTAGACTTCATCCGAGTGATATGGCCAATTTTATCATCGACTCGGATAAAAAAAAAAACAGGGGTTACGGACGATTAAATATCAAATAGCCCGTTTCCTCCAGTTCTACCGATGTAGTCTACAATAACAGTGATAATAATATATTGTTGCACATACACCGTGTACACCTGCCTATGTATGTAAGTATTATTTTACTTACATGTAACTTACCGGGTAATATTATTAACGTGCGGTTTGCGATACGACGGTACGTTAGGCAGAAGATTAAAGTGACTTATTGCTGCTGTACGTCACCACCCTATGAAAATTGTCGAAATTACCTCAAGTCGAGTTGCATATCTATACGTTATAATATGTAGGTATAACACGGGCAACAGCACATTTAGAAATTACAACTTTTCTCTAGCAAAGTAATCTATATTCGTCGTACTCGAGGGGGGCGTGATGGGCAAGCCCCGGGGGGGGGGGGGTACAATTTTATTACCACGATTAACAACATCATACTATATACTCGGAGACGCTGCTTTATGACACACACTAAAACCCTATTCGCTTTTGAGTTTCTCAAAAATTTTACTGCCAAGCACTTAAAGCCAACGAACGCGAAAAGCGGATTACATTTTGTTTCTCTTTATCCGCATACATATATATATATATATATATATATATATATTCCAAACAAGTTGGGAGAATAAAACGTATAGTGTATTACAGTGTTTTACAAAACTATGTACAATTTCTTTGTATTTGTATTTTCTTTGGTTTAATCTGCTTATATCGTTTTGGTTTCATAAAAGTAAAATATTATTGCGGTTGTTACTCGAACAATAACGTTGATCCGTTTTAGATGAGGACCAGGGGACATTAGATACTGTTTTTTAGTATCCCAAAGTTTGCTAAATTTTTTTTAAGCTGGTAAAAAGCTGTCCCGTCACGACACGAAAACGTTGATGACGAAATAATAGTGATGGCAATGGAACCAGTTTGAAAAATTAAGATATACAGGATATCCACTAGGATCTCCTCGGTGCTGTCTTATCTCGCATGATCGCTGTATAATATTTATCAATAGTAGTTTTTCTTACTTCTTATGTTTGATTCCTTTTTTTACGGGCTTCGGTCGTTTATCCGAGCTGTTGGTACACTGAAAAAAAAAAAAAAAAAGGAAATATTAATACATATTCTCCACTGATGAGCATAGATTGGTGTATTTGTTTCTAGGGGCTTGGAAGACAACTCTATGATCTGATCAGCTGTATATCTTATCACTGATGCTCACACTTTCCTCTCTTGTGCTCATGGATGCACATATCCACGTTAAAAGTGCCACAGCAGGACGTGTCGTTTTTACACTACCATTATTACTCTTCCGGGGGGGGGGGGGGTGATAATTCCCCAAAGGGTTCGGTTAGGTTGCTACGGCATAATAATTTACAGCCGGACTTACAGATTATGATTTACGCGGTCACAATGACAGAAGACACCGCACAACGATAACTCAGCCTATAACGGTATTTATTATAACACATCATATTATTATGGTACATAACAATTAATAATCCTCTGTTATTGTCGGATCAGCGGCCGGTGCATTAATTTCACTTGACCTTGACAATATGTCACACGTTATATTATTACACATGCAGAGATCTATGCGGGGGATTAATGGATTTTTGGCAGATGCCATTAAACCACTTGCGTCCAGGGGTTATCAAAAAAATGAATTTTGTTATATGTAAAATCTTTTTTTTTTTAAACTCATCCACACTTATTGTACTAATTTCAGTAGTTGTGTAACGTTGCTGCATATAACAAATATATATATATTTGTTATATAAGATAAAATTAAATTGTACTCAAAGAAAACCGTACACTACAGTATAATTGCATCTAATCTAATGAGATAACATAATATGTATGTTTGTACTTTCTAACGACCGAAATATTTCGGATGATTCGATAATACAATAATAATAGACCGTTTGAATTAATTGTATAATAATTAAAACTATAATGGGACTTGTTAAACTAATAATTTAATAATAAAAGTCTTAAAATGTAAAACAACAAAATCAAAGTAACAAATAGTAATATTATTATTGTTTGTTGAAAGTTTTCTCGAAGAACGGATTAGGTATTTGAATAACACTTTCGTGTACCGTTTAAGGTTATAAATTATTTTAAAAAGTTTATTATTATTATTACTTTCATATGAAATTAGGTACATTTTTATTTGAATAACAGCTATATTATGGAACAGCCCCGGGCGATTTTTATTTATAAATTACAAACAATGGGCTACTTAAAGTTCATTTGTTTTAGTGCTTAATGTAGTTCTTAAGGTGCTGCTTATAATGGTTATCCGGTTTAATAATATAAAATATACAAATTGGACGGGAATTATAGACAAATTCCGGCTTATACAATTTTCCGGATTATACACGTTCCTATGACAGTTTTCGCTTTCCCCTCGAACGGTTTAATACTCTGTTTACAATATTCATTTATGAGAAAATACATTCTTGTGGGACCCAATTGAAAAACTTACATATTATTATTAGGTTTTTGTCCTTGGAAAAAGTACACCATACCGTTTCCTTTGTGGCCATAGGAACATCTGGATAACGCCATTATACTGAACAAAATCCATTGTCACGTTAAATAATAATCTGGCATTATAATAACATCTCTTAAACACCGATCGGATTAAGTAACGTCCTATCCAGTTTGTTTTATCAAGTGGTGAACTTTTATAAATAATAATTATCGCACTGAACAAAATAAGTACAATTAAAGAAAAAAAAAATAACTTGAGCTAGAAAACTGGCCAGAGAACTTAATTGTTGTTAAACATTGTAATTGTTGGAGAAAAATATTTTTTTTTTTTACAAAATCTACATTTTTTAGGCAAATTATTCGTTATACAACACTGTGGCATTTCTACAAAATTCTCCTAGCTGGTTATATATTGTTCAACGTTATTGTTACACCTTTCACCTTATCCCAAATTAATTAACACCATATAAGAAGAGTAAGGCCCGTAACAGTAAAATCCTTACAATTATGACTTACAAAAGTTTACAAAAGAGACTTTATGCTAGTTATTTTTTTTTGGTCTTGGAAAACACTTATGAACGTTTTCCACGAGAACAAATTGGAAATACGATTTTAATTTTGCAAGTTTTAGTTAAAAATATTTACTCAAAACGGATGGAAAAATTTGTAGGGGGAAATTTTTTTTGAAAAAAAATATATTTTTCTGGTTTTCTAGTAGTTGTTTTGAAGTATACTGCTTACCTGTTTGGTGTAACTGGACAGAATCTTTCGGTAAAATCCATCGACCCCGCAAGACGTGGTGGGCTTACCACCGGGTTTTCCCAACCCGTTGCCCATTTTTGGGGGGAAATACACTGTCGGTAAGATACACGCTTGGCTCGGTCGAAATTAACACAAAATACAAAATTTTACTATCAACGAACCGAAACGGCGGCGGCGGCGGCGGCGACAACTATAATAATAACAATAATTACAATAATATTTAAACGGCTGTTTACTATATGTATTGTATTAATAATATTATTGTGTGTAGATTCTATTATTTCTTTGAGAAAACAAAATCAAAGAACACGACGACCACGACAAACGCCGGTAACCCAACGAATAACAACGTGCTCGCCCGTCGATTAGATAATTCGCCTATACCAGACATCATCCATCTCCCACTATCCATCTCCATCTACACACAATATATTATTAGGTACTATGCTTGCCCGAGATTACAAACCAATATTTCTTATACTTTCCCATCGTCCAAAGAGGATGTTAACAATGTGAACGTGCACAAGACGTAAACAAAAAACAATGTCAGTCCGAAAAATGGCACCTGACGACCGCCGTTTTTGGCTTTTTTTTTTTGGAAAATGCGTTTTTTCTTATAAAAAAGACTGTTTTTTTTTATTTATATTGTTACTAAGAAAACATAATATTATTTTACTAGAAAAAAAGGGCCTAATAAGTGTTATTTTAAGTACGACTGCGAATAAAAAAGTCTTACAAAGTAAAATATTGCGACAACTTTGTACTTTTAAGTGTTGCAATAATATTCTCAAAGTTAATATTGTTTTTTATATACAACTTTTTTTTTTCAAGCATGTTAATATAATATTGTGTAAGATATTTAATAAAAATGTTACATTTCATATACAGAACATGTGTTTCAATTTTAAAAGTTTCGATTAGAACAAAGGCCCAATTTTACAACTTTTAAACAATTTCTTGGGCCAAATTAAAACTGAAAATTAATATTTTATAAATTAAATCAACTCATTAAATGGCAATAAATTAGGCAAAATTATTAAGTTTAAAAAAATGTACCTAGAAAAATAGTTTTTTGTGTCTTCTGAAAACAACAAAAATTGAAATTGAGCCAAACTAGTACAGTGAGAAGTTACCAATTACTTTCAAGGAAACGCAAACTTCTTACTGTTTTGTCTCAAAAATCCGCATCAAAGAGTTGAATGTGAAAGTATTACTACTAGGTTTAAACCTTAAAAAAGATTTGGCCTTGACCCGACTTACTAACTTCTCACTGTACTCTTGCTTGATTTTGACAATGTTGGGTTCTTCTAAAATATTTCCTACGAAACAATGTGTTATTTTATTTTAACTTTATTTCCTATTTTTTTTTTTGTTTAAAATTTTACACATTTTATTTTGCAGGGAAAAAAAATTTACAACGACAGCGTTTGCCTATAGTTGTGTAATTCAATGAAAAAAAATTGTTGTTATATAAACTATGATGGTCGGTTAACGTGCGCGTTAAAACGACCAACCAAAACCTGTTGACATATAAATATGTTTACTATTAAAAAAATTTTTAAAAAAAATCATTACATAAGTGTGCGTTAGACGTTCTTCTTTTAAAACTGCCCACACAAATAAGTGCAAACAAATGTCTTAGTTAAATTTAGCGAAAATAGAGTATAACTCTTTGAGAGGTAAGAAATCAGCAAACCGATCGGACAGGATATTTTACAACTATACAAGTGAGTAATAAAAATAATATGCAACCGCAATGCTCTAATGGTGTGTTTGGTTGACTATTTTTATGTGATCAACCAACGCCAAAAAAAAAACTATACATATATATTATATATATAATAACGGTTTAATTTAACTTTAACCACCACCCCTAAAGGGCCATTACAAAAGTGATTAATACACTAACCACAGCCCCTCAGAGTGTTGTAGAGACATTTTATTGTAGATAAAATGTCTGTAAAGTTTTTTTAAATATAGAACTGAACAGTTTTTTATTAGTCAGCTTACTATATTTTAGGATAGTAATTGTATTGCCCTATTTTCTTTGGATTTTCATCTCTTCCTGGGTTTCCCCCCGACACGGTTCTAGAGGTTCATATAAGTCAGGTAAATTAAAACATCCCTTAGAGTGTAATTTATTGTCATGGGCATTTTTTCCGCATCTGGCACGCTGTTGAAAACCGTCGGAATTACTCGAATTGCATTAATATGCAACCCGGTAACAATTGATAAAAAAATAAAGGAAAAAAAAACCCGCTTATGAATTATTCAAAGTGGCAAATAAAATTAGAAATGCCAGCTTTTTTTTATTTCAGCTCTTAAATTATCTCATCGCGTTATGCCGTTTCGGTAAGCATTTAGTTTTTTTTTTTGTTTTTACACAACTGTTTAATGGTAAAAAAAAAAAAAAGAATAAAATGGTAAACCATTCGAAACAACAATTTTTTACAGGGGGAGGGAATTTAAAAACAAAATTAAGTATAATTTTTAGTATTACTTGCAAAAAAAGGCTTAATCACTTTATTTTACTCCAAAGTGAAGTTAATCGTCGGTTACACTACTTGAATAATGTCATAATAAAAACTATTGTGTTATTGACTAGTGTTGGCTACTGTAATATGGTAGAAAGAATCCTAAAGGCTAAAACGGCCAATAAACTAAAACCGAAAACACATTCTACTATAACTATGACAAAAAAAAAACATTTTTAAATTTATTGTGATAGCCGCCGATAGGTGGGGTAATAAGTGGTAAATTATTGTGAAAAAAAAACGGATAACTGCAGTTTAAATATTAGTTTACAAAAAAAAATATGAGTTTTTTAAATTTAAACAAACATTGTAATTAAAATCAATAAAAATGTATTCATATTTGTATAGAGCATTTTTTTTGAAAATTAACTTGCATTTCTTGGCATCGATGCAGAGCTGAGTAGGTTTAGTTTTAAAATGATGTTTTTTTTTTTTTTTGTATCTGGCTTTATCGGATTTGCAATAGCTTTCGGATTTCTTTAAGAAACAATTCGGTTTCTAAAACGAAATACCGAGTACTTGTGTATACTTACCCTAAGTATTACAATATTATTTTGTTTACCATAGAGATTCGTTTTGCCCAAATGTAATGTTCATAAATATTTAACGGAAATCCGCGAAATGATAACATAGAAAATAAGGCAATTTAATTTTATGTAGTAGATATTATTTTGTTCAATGTAAAATGTAAGTACTTTAATATATTTAATCCGCGGAAATGGAAAATTAAATTAAAAAAAAAAAATAAGAGTGACAGACTTGAACGCACATTTCCTCGTAGAAACATGTTTTATTTTTTTAATGTGACGTCAAGCGATTATTATAACGATTCTTCGAAGTAAGTTAAGTATACAAAAAAAAAAAAAAAATTGTACCTAAGAAATGATTAAAAAGGAGTGAAATTCTCGCACAATTCGACGTATCATCATTTTGGTTTCTTAATTGAAAAAAAAAAAAAATACAAAATAAAATAGTCATCAAATTAATTGAAATCTGCTGACACTAAGAAGACGTCTGAATGAATGAACCAAGTGATAAAAATATGGCAGGTAAACAATGCGGTTTTTGTAGACACACGGCAATTTTTTTTTTTTTTTTGCATTAACTGACTGTAAAAAAATATATGTATGTTCAAACTGTAAGCACATTTTTACTGTCTTAACAATTATCAATCACAATCATTATTCTTATTAGTTATTATTACTAGAATTCTTTACTAATACAATTAAATAAACGTTCAAGTATTCAGTTTTAAAGCATTACACTTACACAAAAGTTTATGTCATACTTAATTGAAAATGCCTTTTTCTGAATCATAACTCACAGTATTCTATACTGTACTAGTTCCATGGTACAAAAAGAAAATAATAATACACTTTTATACAGTATCTAATAAAGAGACACCCAGTGAAACTATTATTGCACAGATAAAATAAACTTAGTTATATTTTAAATTAACAATTCAAATTTGTTTAAATCGGTTACAACAAAAAAAAAAGCAATGCTTGATAGAAAAAACTAAGCAAAAATAGTTTGTCATCAAGGTCATTAAAATATTTTTTTCTATTTTAAAGGCCCAAAAAAAAAATTAAGTAGTGATAAGAATTATTTTCAGTATTATACTCAGGACAGGCAAGACATAATAATATTATTTAAATTATAAAATACAATAAATTATGATATTTGAACCTATAATGCAAGTCTGTGTCATTCCTTTGTACTCAATCTACCTACAAAAAATAACTTCTGCTTACCTAAGAAAGGGTTATCGAGGTTGTCTTTTATATTGTTTTCTAAATACCCAATATAAAGAAGGTCCTCATTAAATGTGAAATTCATTATTAAATATTTTATGTTACTAATATACTCAGTCAACAAAAATTATAAAACAATTTCTGAACTATAATAATATAAATATTTTATTTAAGTACATTTTAACATGCCGATTAACTTTTTAACAAGCCAAATTCGGGTGATTAATTCAAAAATCGTTTCAACAATGTGTTAAGGCTAACCAATCTCGATGAAACCCAATTTTCATTAACTAGTTGTTACATATAATTAACAATAAGTTAAATTCTTTACAAATTTTGGTGAAACCGATTGATAATATTCTAAAATATTCCAAATTCGTCGAATATGCTTTTGAACGCATTAATACATAAAATACAATTTTCATTGTCATAAAAATCTCCCACATTTCTAAGTATTTCTTCAGTCTGGCACAAAGAAAAGAAAATTTTAAATCACACAAATCCGGACTCCGTTTTTCGCTAGTTATTACCCAAAGCACAAGTGTTTTCCTTCTTGGAATAGAGTACCTTCTGTTGAAACGTCAAAAATGTATAAATGGACTTTTGCTCTGTGAATCAATAGTTTTTCATAAATCACTACTAGACTCTATTATAGTGTCTCGGGATATATATGAAGCAAGTCATGAAAACGTCAGCGACTGGCAGAGGATTTGTACGTCAACAACCTAATCCGGCGTGCTTAGGGAAAACGTCGTATCGTGAAATGTTCTTAAAAAAAAAAAAAGGGGGAAAAAAAGACAAATGCTTCATTGGAAACAATACAATGAACATCATCGTCCAAAACTATATAATAGTGTGTAATGCTTTTACAATACATTTCTTGACATATTATTTTTCTATATCTTAATTTAGTTGGTATGAGACAAACAAATCATATTAAGAAAACAAAACGGCACAGATACAAGTATTGGTAACAATTTGAACTGAAACATTTGAATAGTGTGAAAAGGTTAAAACTGGGTGAATGCCATGAAATATATTATTCGT